TTGTCTCAACCCCCCCCCCCCTTTTTTTTTCCAACTGGCGCGCGCTCTTTTTTTATCGCTCGAGATTTTTTTTTCGCCTTCGAGAAAACCCTGTTTGGTGTTTCTATTAATAGCTGACTGTCAGACTGGTGGTCGTTTGGCTTTACTGCGACCGCACGACAAGATAGATAACGTTTGTTGACACACGCAGAGTTCAGTGTTCGGGGCCACCGTTTCTCCCGAGTTCTGACCAGAGAGTTTAATTCTGAATTAGCCTACCTACCTTAGTCACTGACTGGCTCAGCGAGACCATTTACTTTAGAATAAGAATGCAAAGTTTTGTCTGTCTCAGTTTCCTAGATTTTTTTTCGGTAGCGATTCGTTTCTCTGAAGGTGTGAGGATTAATTCAAACGCCGAGAGAGGACGGAGCCCTGCCAAGGTTTGTCTTTTCCTGTCTGTGGAGTGGACAAACTTTGTACGGTAGTGACATTCTTTTTGTGTCAGGCAGGTGGTTGGAATGCGCGACAGGTAGGTCTTACTTCTCCCCTCCATCCTCCCCCGCATCCCCTTTGTTTTTGTCTGTCTTACTCTTTCCCTACACTAAATGACCGTCATTGTTGTGCGCACTTTTGTTTTCTGAGACTAAACTAGCACAAAGTTTGTGTCGATTTGGGAGAAGCCAGTAGGTTCTGTGAGGCGTGAGGTCATACGCAGTGGTGCCTGAAATAACAAGACTCGAGAGATATATGGCGGAAGTTATACAGAGCAGGGCAGACGTAGCGGTGAGATAGACGGGTGGTTGGAGAGCGTCATTGATAGGTCCTATTTGTTTTTGTTTTGTTTTTCTTTTCCTTCTCTTCTTGTTTCTGTAGTGTCACTTTTTCTTGAGCTTAGTGGGCAGTTGGCCTATGCTCTGGTGTGGCATGCTCTTTCTTTCCTATTAACCATCTATCGCCCTTATCTATCCCCGTTCTGTTTGTGTTTGTTACTCTCTTGTAACACCTCTAATCTCCGACACTTATATAACCTTGTTGTTTTTTCGTTTGTTTGTTTATTTATTTATTTATTTGTGTCTGTGTTTGTGCGCCCCCCCCCTCTCAAAACACACATGCACTACATACGCGTGCTATAAAGTTGTAGAAAAGTGGGGAGGGATGTGTTCATGACTAGTTAGGGTTTTATTCTTTTACGGAATGAGCTCTGCGATACAGACTTCTTGGAACGGTTAACAGATATGTCGGTCAACAGATATGTCGAAACGATAGTAAGATATCTACGTAAGATATCTACGTATATCACATTGTTTATTCTCTTACTTCTTTTTCTTTTCCGATTTTTCATTTTTCCATTACCACCAAGGTGCTGCTCTGTCTGTCTGTCTGTCTGTCTGTCTGTCTGTCTGTCTGTCTGTCTGTCTGTCT